ATGGGATTATATGTTAAACTAAACAATATTGTAATTAATAAATAAGTTAATTGTATTTATAGTGCCTTTCATGTAATGTCATGTGCCTTAAGGCCATCAAATAAATATAGCATTAAATCACAAACAAGCATACTTTACCTTAATTTCTAATTAATTCTGATTTTTCGTAATATTTATAAATAATTGTTTCATTCATTCGTCGAAAGAATACTTTAAAGTATTACCAAAAAACACATTCAAAGGGAAACAGAATTTTTAATATCTGTTAGGAATTTGAATCAAAACTTTCACTAATTTTTTAATGTAAGCAAACAATTATTGTAAGCAATTGTAAGCAATTATTGTAAGCAAGCAAACAATTATTTAACTCGGAATCAAAGTTTGAACAAATAATGCTACCATTCGTTACCAGCAAATTAATTGCAAACAAAATATTAATTTAGTAATACTGACCCTGGATTACTAACTATATATTGAGAATTACCGTAATTTATAAATTGGGATAACTAATAATGAGAGTAACGCTTAATTGTAATGTCTGTCCTGTTATTTATAATTATAATTATGAGAAATTCTGTTATCAAACACATTATATATTATTATTAATACAATTGTTATTTGAATAGAAAGAATATTCATTAATTGAATTTCATTGTCATTTAATTACAATTACTGTACTTAACTTTTACGTTATATTTGCTCAAAATATTAATGTTATATTATTTATAAATCATTTTCATTTATAATTACAATTAAATTTATAATAATATAAAACTTAAAGCTTATTTTGGCCATAAATTCACACCAAATATGTTTAGCACTGTATTAACATTAATGAGTATCTTTGACGCAAAAATTATGGATACTTTACAGACAAACACACTATTTATTTGCTGTCATATTCATAATTTGCATTCTTAATAGCCTTTAAATTCATTACAATTTTGTCTAAATTATAGCTAAAATTATGATTATATCTAATAATTATAACACTTTTCACTCATTATCTCCCTTTCCATCACAACATTTCACTCGCAAACCAATTGTAGACATTATTTTAATTTCTTATTTAAATTCTTATTTCAAAATTAAAAACCAATTCAACGATATTTTGTTTTCAATTCATTTCATATGCTTTTTATTTTTATTTTTCAAATACAGTACAAAACAATATTATAATTGATTAAAACTAACATTATTTACAATTTAATATTATACTCAAATTATTAGAATTGAAATGCTCTGTAATTGTTTTCATACTAAATAAGTATATGTTATAAAACTCACTATTTTGGCAAAATGTGTAAATAGTAATTACCGCTTATTATATGAGCGCAATCACTACCAAAATGATCAGACTTTTCACAAACAAGTCTCAAAGACTCGGTAATTATAGGCTTCAATGATGAGAATTTTAAATTTTCATAAACATTAAACAAAACTTTTAAAACAATTTGTTAAATAGATATACAACTCGTTTTACTCCGTTTGCTGTTATTATTAGAGTTATTATTATTATGAGAAGTACTGGTCTGCAGTGATTTCAATTTTCATAAACATTAAACAAAACTTTTAAAACAATTTGTTAAATAGATATACAACTCGTTTTACTCCGTTTGCTGTTATTATTAGAGTTATTATTATTATGAGAAGTACTGGTCTGCAGTGAATCGGCAAACGCTGGCATCAGTTTCACTATTTGTTTCCCGAAGTATCTCTCGAAAGTGTTGTAACCAATCATGTCTTCGGGTGTTATCTATGATATAAATAACAAATAGGATTAGAGTTGAAGTATAAGAATAACTAATGGACTCATCATTACATCGGTTCTGTTCTTATAGTTAGAAATCATTCGTTTGATGTCANGAAAGTGTTGTAACCAATCATGTCTTCGGGTGTTATCTATGATATAAATAACAAATAGGATTAGAGTTGAAGTATAAGAATAACTAATGGACTCATCATTACATCGGTTCTGTTCTTATAGTTAGAAATCATTCGTTTGATGTCATTAATGAAAATGACTTCACTTTCGTAGCCCTTATTGTTTAAATTCTTCTGAATTGTCAGTAAAGTTAGGTTTTGTTGCATTTGAGACTCGGTATCGACAGGTTTGAAGGGTTGACTCGATTTGTGGCAAATCAAAGCAATCAAAACCTTTTCGCATTGAAACTGTTGTCTGTCTGAGAATCCCGGGCGTCGGCTTCTGCCGGCGCTCTGTGTTTGCGGCATATCTTTACAAAAGGTGCAAATGAAGGTACTCCTGATGGGGAAAGCAGTCTATTAGTCATCAAACGGAGTCAAAAGCCAGTAATGGTGTACTCACTCAGGCATAGTCCTGATCTCCGGGACGTGACACTCCTTATGGAAGGATCGGTTACAGTTCCCACATATGATGAACTCTCCGAACTCTCGGTCACAGACCACACAGAAGGCCTCCTCATCGATGGACTCACTGTCGTCTGAGTCGTCTTCACTCATCAGATCGTTTGGCGGAGAACTCGAACTTATCTCGTGATCAGCGGTCACGGGCTCTAAGGGCGCGATCCGAGCCACAGGAGCCGCTGGACGTACGGGTGTGGGTGCGCCCGGTGTCTGATTTATGGATTGTTCTGTAGTTTTATTGGCGTCCGAGTTGTTGGTGACTTCAGTGGTGGTCTCGTTTGACACGAAATCATTGCACGAGAATAAGGAGTCAACTGATGGCGGGTTAGGAGTGTTCGGTACAATCGTCTCACAATTCTCAACGGAAACTCTCCTCTCGTTGTTATTATCCCTATCAGTGCTCTCATCGACCACTTTGTCATTTGCTATCGGATTGTCAATAATGTCAGCTAATGAAGGCATGGATTGGATTGGGGTTTGAATACCAGAATCGATGGAATGGGGTCTCGTCGGCGCATCGGCATCGGCCGACTCATCCACAATATCATTAGTCACAGACGACGTGTTGTCCGGTTCTATGGACGCACTTCTTGGTGGTTGTGATGCAGTGGTCACTACGGCTGCCGTGGAATCACACATTAAATCAGTGAATTCGTCGGGAATATGGAGTTGAGGGATGTTTTCTTGTGTTTGGGACGTGGGCTGAAGTGATGGGGCAGTAGTTGTGATAGAGTTTGTGCTTTGAGAGGAACTCATAGTATTCTGTGACTGTATGTATGAATGACTCGATTGCTGTAACTGTTGGGCGATTTCATTGATTCTCTGCTGTTCTGCCAAACGTTTCAATTTGTCTTCTTCTCGTTGTCTGGCTTTTAGTCTCTCCTGTTTCTCGTAGTCACGTAAGGCATGCGTTGCATAAGATTGGTGTGAATTAGGCTGAAGTGGTGGTGTCTGTGGCTGAAGGGGTTGTTGTGATAGGGATTGTGTTTGGAGTGTATGTTGTGGTGCTTGTGATTGAAGGGAGAGTTGTGATTGAGTTTGTAGTGAGAGATGACTTTGTGACTGAGATTTGTGATGAGTTTGTGTTTGGAGAACATGTTGTTGTAGTGACTGACGGGTCAGTTGGTTTTGTGGGACAGTATGTTGGGACTGAATATACTGGAACTGGACACCCGCTTGTTGGTTGTGTTGTTGCGGTTGATTAAGTCGCGCCAATAACTGGCTTTGTTGTAGCCGTTGTCGTTGTTGTGGTGGGTTAGTGTTGGGCGGGTATATGATAGTTGTTTTGCCCATATGTGATGCCTGTCCGCTCGACATATTCGTTGTGCAAGTATTGGGCAGTTGTGGGACAGTGTGTGCTGTTATGTTGCCGCCCGCATACGTCCTTATGTTATGTCTAAAATGAAATATTATGTCAATAGATAGTCAAACAAATGACAATTTCTTACCCATAAGTGTTGGCCGTTTGTATAGCATTTGCATTAGTGGTAGGATTGTATGACTGAGTGATGGCAACGTTTGGTGGGTTAGCCATCGTCACGATACTCATATAGTTGGGAGGAGTGGCGAGATTCTGAACCATTTGACAGCTTTGGAGACCGGGAACTGGTCCGCGATATACGGCTGGACTCCCATATCCGGACATTTGTTGGGCGAAGTTTGCAGTGTTGACTGGAATACCGTTTTGTGTGACAGAGTTTGTCAGTGAGTTTGACATATTTTGTAAATGTATGGAAGTATTGCTTATAGTATTTGTGTTTAAAGCGT